CAAACTGATAGAAAAAATATGCAATTATTCTATATTTATTTTGATACTTCCTAACACAAATAGATTTCCTATTCACCTTGATATATTGGCAAAATGTAGAATTCCAAAGTATATTTAAAATACTGGAGTAATTTTAACATTCTTACTCATGCTGAATGGAAGTTTATGCTGTGAGAATTTCCATTGATTCACAAAGGTAGCTACAAGTCAATGCAATTGCATCAGGATCTCATGCAAACCCAAGTTCTAATATGTATTTGTTTGCTGGCATTGTGGAATTTTAGCAGGCGGATTGTGTTGACAGGTATTAAATAATATCTTTCTGTTTATGTCAGATTGGTGGGGAAAAAAGAATGGCCTGTTATCTAAAAGGAACCAAACCAAAACTTTTTAACCACAGCCAGACTGGTAGGGATGAATTTCTTATCCACTCTACAAATAACGTAAGTGTAGCTGATTTTTCATCCCATCCAATGATGGTCTAAAAGCCTTCTGCTTCAATCTAACATATTTCTCTTCAATAGCCTCATCTTTAAACTACCTAATCAGAAACACTAGTATACATTTGCACTGCTGGATGCAGCTGATCTTGCAATCTCTCTCTGATACAGAGAGATCACTTCTGTATCTAACTCCCATTCTGGAAATCCAGGTTATGGCAATTTGAATTCTTGTTCTGGAGCTGGTGCCCTGAAGAAAAGCTGCCAAAGCATTTTGGCTAAACAATAACATGCTGTGTCTGTAATACATTTTCTAAGTAGATCCTTGATGTGAGGAAAGGAAAATTAAGAATTATATTTTAGGACCAGGAAAGGAAAATGAGTAAGAAGAAAAGAGGAAGTACTGTATTTACCTAAATATAGACAAGGCTTTTCCCCCCAACCCTCTCATCTTACATTTGCATACAAGAAAACCTCATTAAATATATCAGCTATCATTAAACCACTGCCAAAAGAATGATGTGCTCAATAATGGAAACCAACTATGAAGTTGATTAAATGCAACCAGCACTGAACATGACTTTAAAACATAGGGCCCATATTGGGCAAACTCTTTTGGGAAATTTTTTCTTGTGTCAGGTCAAGTTAGCCAAATCAGTTCCAAATCCTACTGATTGAGCAAAACTCAATTGTTCAAAAACCTTATGTGGTGCTATAACCCACAATTTATCTCCACCCCAGATTTTTCACACTGGGGCTACAGATACTCCCAAATGCATTTGGCAGGCAATCCTACAATTCTCTCTCCCCATCACATATGATTCGTGTGGCCCTGCCCTCCATGAGGTGGAGCCAAACCAGTTTTCCCTGCACTTTAATCTGAATATAAAGTTTTGGAAGATCCCAGGACTCATGGCAAGAATACCTGGGTCCCGTCATGAAAGTGGGGGAGTAATTAGCACATGGTTAGTTTGCGGGGGGGGGGATCTGGAGTACACATACATACTGAGCAGTGCTGTGGAGGGGTCGTGATGGCTTGAAATGCTGTTGACTCTGCTGGGGGCCCAGAAAAATGAGCTATATGGTAAGTCATGAGTTTTTTGGCTTTCAACTAGGTAACAAAGCATTGTTTAAAAGCATGTTTATGAAGTACCTGCACTGAAACTTGCAACAGTTTCAAAAAAGTAGCATCAGCTCTGGATGAACTAAGTCTGTGGCTATCCATAGTACTTTGCTTATATGCCAATTACTATAGCAAACTATGCTTAGGTGGGTATGTCTACTGACTTTGAAATACGTCTATTGTATTGTATGAAGGCAATACAATAAATTGCAGCACATATTGTGCTAGAGTTTATTGCTCCCAGGTGCCGTGTTTGCATGTGTGCCTGGGACTGCGGCATATTGATCTGGGATGTAGCAGTCCCAGCTGGCAGGGAGTCTGGGGGGTCAGCCTGCCAGCCTGGGGGTACTCTGACCTGGTTCAACATGCCATGGAGAGGATGACTGGGGCATGAGGGTGCTCCAGTGCAGGACTAGCTCCTACAGTGGAGTTAATCAGTTTACTGCGGCTTACTAATGCCACATGTGTAGACAATGAGATGTTTATTACGGAGCTAATTAGTCAGCTCCACCATAAACATCTCACGTAGATGTGTCCAGTGTTTTCAAATTTGTCTCTCACTTCCATATGCTCAAGGAGAGCAAGGTCTAAGGAGCAAGGGGGTAGGAAGTAGTAGGGGCTGCAGGGGGAATAAATTGGGAGGAGAGATGGCAAAGGGGCCACCTGACCCCCCTAAATTTATTTTCTCTGCTTTAACTGTAGGCGGGGGGTGGAGGGACAAATTCAAGGCAAACCACCAATAATTAGATTCTATCTCCAACAAATTGTAACAAATATATACATTTTCCATATACAGAATCTGATTTTTGGGATGTTGTCTTATATTTGAGTAAAAATGGTACATCAAAGAGGAATGAAAGGGAGGTGTATGGAAGGCTGAATGGAGGTGTATGGAAGGAGGAGGTGGAGGTGGGGACCTGTTAGAAAATCATAGAGCCAAATGGAGAAACAGAAGGTCAACTGTAGGATAACACTGGAATAGGAGAAAGATGGTCTTTTAAATATGTATATATGTTTTCTCAGAGGCATGTGAACTTACTGACAAAATACATAGGTAGTACATGGATTGGTAAGCAAAATGGAATGATGTACTGAGTAGAATTGAAAGCAAACCATACCTCATGATCTTTGGGGATGTTTCTATAAATAATTCATGACCTAGCTTTTCAATATGATTCTAAAAAAGAATATAGGACAGGAAGGGATCTCCTGGGCTCTTTAACCCAATCTCCTGCTATCCCTAGCAACCACATCATAAACTACATTTCCATAAAGCTAGATTTGCTCCTTTCAGAGCTCTGCTGACTTACAGTCACCATACAAATTTGACCATAACCAGGGACAGATCTAGAGGCATTGTAGTGGTGTGGACATACACCTGTTTCAGTCAATGATATCGAGTGAGAAGCACTGGGAGCTATTTTTAGGTCCCCAAATTGGGTAAAAATTCCTCCCCGCTCCATGCTCACTGGCACCTCCCCACCCTTCCCTGTTTTTCTCCGTTCCCCATCTGCTGCTATGCCTGGGGCCAGAAGCAGCTCCAAAGCCTCTCCTTTATGCTCCAGCTGGGCTTCATGGGGAGCTGGGTTCAGAGGCAGTGACAGGCAGCTTTCCCTTTTTTTTGCTTGGTTGCCCCCTACCAGCCCAGAAGCAGCTACAGGGGAAAGGAACCCACCCACTGATATCCCCATTAGTGCTGTCTGTGGCCGAGCCTGACTCCACATATGATCTGACTACAACAGGACAGGAGCATCTCTGCAGCCTCCTCTCAATCCCTTCAGTCCCCTGGGGATCGTGGCAATGGCAGTGGCAGGTGGGGAAGAGTGGGGACTGGGAGGGGAGGGGGCATACTGATGTATGTGTAGAGGAAGGGAAGGGAGAGGGAAATGGCTACCTGATTGAGGAACTTAAAAAAAGATCTCAGCTTCTCCTCTGGTGTGGTCTGCCTGCCTCAGGGGGAAGCTGGAAATAGGGGGTACAGCCACCCCTGCAGTACTTGTTGCTGCTCTCACATCTCTTTTACAAAATCCTGGATCAACCAGGACAATAAACATCTATTAGTTTGATATTCATTTATTACATTTATTAGTTTGATATTCTCCTTTTTCTCTAGAAGAAAAGTTTAAAAAGTTACTAAAAACTCCAAAGTTGGAATTGCCTGATTTTTTTTCTCTTGGAAATACGTGTTAATAACCCAGAAAGTATCAAGAGTTACACACAGTACACCTTGGACCATATCTCATGTTTCAGCTGTGCAGACTCTTCAATTTCTGTATTAGAAGAGCATCATCCCTTGGTTCTTTTCAGTATCTTCTGCATTATTGTCAGATGTCAAGATACTAGAACAATCAAAGGGTGTGTTTATGCTGCTTCCCTGGTATTTTGCTGACTGAAGCATTTAAGAAGCATGTTTCTGCTCCACATATTCTACGTATACCAGAAATGACATGGTGAACCTTCTCCAGGGGTCCCTTCCACTGCCACACTTGAGATCCATATCTTGTAGGTTTGAGAGGGGTGGCAAGGAGTGCCCTCAGGGCAGTTTGACAAGTTCATTTCCATGTTTGGCACATGCAGAGTCAAAACAGCTGGAACTCTTGGCAAATGTTACACTTGTTGCAAATTAGATGTTAGATAACATGTGAATCAGTTTATTCCTGGGAAAAAATGATGAATCAACCACAAAGAAGTTGCTCAGCAACACAGCAGCATTTCCGTGGTACAGAAATATCCTACCATTTTAACATGTTGGAATTTATGACTTATGACACCATACTCACATATAACATGCTTCCAGGGGTCTCAGTGGTAGTCTCTGAAGAAGCAGTACAGATATACTCATAGCTGGTTTCTACACCGTTGTTTAATTTGAGAAGTACTTTTCCCTGCAGACAACTCCAACTACTTCAATGGAGCTACTTTAATGGCATGAGAAAGGGTGGCAGAATCAGTCCAAAATCCCCTGGCAGGAATTACACTTAAGACATGATTGGCCAGTTAATCATGCTCTTAAGTAAGTGATGCTGATACAATGTTATCCTCATTTCCATTTCCAGCCACTCTCAGGAGCATGACCATCATTTGTACAAGCAAACTCACTTACTTCAAGAAGAATTCCAGAATAAGTAGAAGATAGAGGATTAGGGTTAAGAAGTACTGCAGGTCTTGATCTGGAGAGGAGTCATTATGGTCTGGAAGAGCCAGGTGTGGAGACACCCCGGGTAGGTAAGATCACTTTTTTCTATGCCCCTACCCAAGAGGCTCAGGGGAGTTTTGCCAAGAGTACAACTCAACCTAGGTTGAGAAGCACTGCAGGTTCACAAAGCACTAAGCAGTATTATAACAAGGAATGCATTCTCTTGGGTTGTATGCTGTCTAAGACCAGGATGTTTTTATTCACATTAAAACATTGTTAAAAGAGAAAAAAAAGCTTTTACCCTGCTTCTTGCTGGTCCACCCCATAGTGTTCTAGTTCTGTGCCTGGGAGGGGTTGCACTGGAGGGGGTGGGAGGGGGACGTTGGCCCAGTTTGAACCATTATTTTTCTGGGGTTTGGAAGCATTTTTATTTTTCTTCTTTTTCCCTCCTTTGCCACCTGAAAATTAAAAAAAAGTCAGAGATTTAATGAAAAAAGTTGGCTATTTACATATCTTTGAAATAATTCTGATTCCAGATGGCATACTCAAAAAAGAAGATGTATTTATATCTTAGCAGCATCAGCATCAACGTATTAAAGTTGTTACAAGGTTATAAATAATAATAGGCTGGACTAGGAAAATATTCTGCATAATTGATGAAAATTACTTCTTTTTAAAACATAAGCCCCACACAGCCTCATCACAATAGTGCATAAGCTGAATAAAGTAAAAACACACTTTGCTGTATCAAAAAATATATTTATTGATTTATTCGTGTCTGCTCCAAGCCTCCATGCAATTCATTGTTAGAAAAAAATAATAGACCATAGCAAATTCTTTCAAATGTCAGATTTCAGTGTATTTATAATACCATTTTGCATAATCTCTTTCTGCGGGAAACAGAGAGGTTAAGGACACAACCTTCAACTTTGTCATTAGAGTCAATTTTTTTTCCAGGCAGAATAAGCAAAACGAAAAGGTAGAAGTAATTGCATTTTTGCTGAAATGGTATTAATAAGTTCAATTAAAAATCAGTACCATTAAGCTTTTCACAATGCCTTAGGACAGCATGATTCACAGGGTTTGCTTTGCAGAAAGCATTCAACTATCCTACGAACCCAGTTGATAACGGGTAGTACAACTATGACAACTGGAAGAGATGGGTGGAAACGAAACAATATATTTTCCTTTTGCTTTCCCCTCTCCCTTTCTTCCTTTTACCTTTGCATTGTGAATCAAAGAGGAATACATTGCATTCAAAAGCTTGTCTTAGATTATGCCTTTCATGCAGTTGGTCCAATAAAATACATCACCCACAAAAGTCTTTGCCTTTTGCATACCCTCTCATGTAGTTGTTTTCAACTGTGGTGCCATGAGCTCCTTTCAGGGCTGCCATGATGTGGGTGGTATTGCAGCCAGGGTGATATGCCCTGCATGCCTCCTGCAGAGGCAGATAAGGAAGTAGCTGCAGCTAAAGCCCACACTCTTCTTGCAGCCCTTCTCAGTCTGACCTCGTATGTTTCTCCTGAACACAGAGATGCAATGGGCAGGTGGGACTGTCCCATACTTCTCTGATTCAGGGAGGAGTATGTGGAGTTGGGCTGGGAAGTCCTGCAGGAAGAGCTTGGGCTCATCATGGTCCCTCCCACTGCCCATCTGCAGCATTAAGGCTGAGCTATGCAGCAGCTGTTTGTACTGCTCCTCCAGGAGGAGGCAGACTGGGCTGGAACAGCCCTTTATACTGATCAAGCAGAGGAGTCAGGATGGGCTGGACAGACATCCCTTTTTCAGTGTGCATTTGTCAGAAGTGATATTTCTCTGGTCTTTTGGGTGAGCATCTTCAGCAGCACTGCAGAGGAAAATAATAGTTCTTATGCACCTGGGAGAGCAACAAAATTTGTCTGTGCTTTGATTAACCCAACCAGAAGTTGGATCAGAAGTAGTACTCTAAAATTCTCTTTGACATATCACCAATTACATGTTATTCCTAAACCTGGAACCATCTGAGGATGATGCAGGGGTTAAACACTATCTCAGTGTCAGTTTGACAATGGAGATGAAATATTGTTGTAATGGGGAAGTGCTTCAGGGAACAGGCAACAGCATCCTTCATGGATATTTATAATGCAATGGACACACATTATTTTTCCCTTATTAGCAAAACTGAGGACAAGCTCTAACCTCAGGAAAGAAGGCGGCATCCACTGGCCACTGACAACTAAGAGAAATGGTTTTGCACCTTTTTGGATATTTCCACTAGAATTAGCTAGCTTTACTCATGCAAGACAAGTTCTGACCTGTGCCTACTGCCATAACGTGAACCTAAATCCACCTGGGAAACTAGGTATTACAGAAGCTGTGAGATCCTGAGCAAAACTCAGAAGGTTCAACTGGAACAATAAGTCAAGGTGATTCCAGTATTAATCGGTACAAATGTTCACTTGGGTTGTGAACATGTGAACATATTAAGAGCCTAATTATTTGCATATTAATTTTTTCCTTGATACTAACAGGACCAACTCAAATGAGCTCATATTTGGGATACAGAATCTTCTACAGATAAGACCTTATTCTAAAAGAACAATATAATTCATCCTGATCTACCTAGTCTCATGCTGAACTGAACATGCAGGTATGACATACCAGTCAAAAAAGGATCAGACAACACTGGTCCAGGAATGATATGCATCTTTTTCCAACAAAAAAAGTCATCAATACTGATATTTTCCCCACAACTTTAGAATCATAGAATTATAGAAAATGAGGGCTGGAAGGGACCTCAGGAGGTCATCTAGTCCAACCCCCTGCTCATAGCAGGACCATGCTCAACTAAATCATTCCTCCCAGGGTTTTGTCAAGCCAAGCCTTAAAAAGTCACCAAGGATGGAGAATCCAACACCTCTCTAAGTAGAAGAAGAAAACTTTGGTTTGGATTAACTGGCATTTTCAATTACAGAAAAAAACCCCAACAAAACATAACATTGTAATGCATTTAAAAGCTCAGTATTACCCTCTGATAACTGGCACTTTCAGGCATGTAGGAGAACAAACCAATTTTCCTAAGAGACATCTCAATACACACCACATATCAGAAGGCAAGCACCTGAAGTACCTTACAACTTTAACTTCCAGTTCTCTCTTAGCCAACACTATAAATTTATTTCTCCAGCTCACTAGAATAAGTTAATATTACTCATGTGAGACTGGTAAACACTTTGGCTATTTGAATAATAGGGCAACTGTTATAGCCTCTGATCTCAGCATTTATTCTGGCTAGAAATTAAAGTTGACATATAGAAGCCATTTCTGAAGTTGATCTGTATTGTTATGGTTGTTCCAATTTATAACAGGAATTCAAAGGCTGCAGTTAAAATATGTATCTGTAATTAAATTCCCTGTATCTCTACCCTGTTCTGCTTAAATGTAATACCATATTCACTAACTGCAGCCTTTGGTTTTGTTCTTACTTTAAAAATGGCATAATTTTACATAAAATAACATAGCCAAACTCTTAGATGTATTAAGGAAATAAATAAGAAAGTTATATTTAATGACAAGGAACAATTAAATATATTACATTTATTTTTGTCCAGTGAAAATATGTTGTGTTTCCAATATAGCATGCAGCACACACATTCAGTTTACATTATGTTTGTACACAGGATTGTGGCACAATTTTTTAGATTGTGGACTCTAGCATTTTAGGTGACTTGTTTGATACAGAATAGGAGTTGGGAATGGATAATGATTCAACAAACATTAACCTCTCAGAAGACTCTAATGGGGAGGTCTGGATTGAATGAGCTGGTAACAAATTTAACATTGTATGAGATGGGTGAAAATGTTATAAGATTTCTTATTAAACTGAAGGGTACTGAGAACAGAGGCAGAAAAGGATTCTCTATTATTTCTAAATGGCTCCTCTCACTACTCTAGATAAATAAGATAATGTACAAGAAGCAAGGTTTAAGAAGAAAAGGTTTTCTTTAAAAGAAACCTTGCCTGTCATACATTTCCTGTACCATCACGGGTTCAAGACCATTCTAATCCTAAATCAGATGGCAGCATTTTTTATAAAGACTTTTTCAGAAGAAACTACAATGACATGTTCACTCAAGTTTAAATGGGCAGACACAGAAATGCTAGAGGTACTCTCTCTTTTGTGATGACAATTAGGAATAAATACATAACAAGCTGCTCGCAAACACAAACTTGTCCTTTCACGAACTGTAACGAAACCAACCTGAGAGGCTGCCACTTCTTTCTGAGCTGTTGTGAGAGCTGGTAGTGCTGAAATCCTGTGACTGGTTGTGTGGCATTCTATTAGACAATCCCTCAGCCAATCGGTAGTCAGGGATGTAAAGTAAGGCTAAGGGTTAAAGGGCAAAGGTCATAGTGGCATCATGTGATTAGTTTATAGCATAAGCACATGCATAACGTGCAGTTAGCAAGTCAAAAGCAGATGTGGCTGGACTGTGAAAAATGTTTTGCCTAGCCTCTCCTAATGGAAATACAGATGGGCTGGTGACTACCAAAGACAAGAAGGACGAAAAACACAGAACCATTTATTTTGTGATGGTGTAAGACAAAGTATGCATGCAAGGTGCATAGTATTAGTTAAGGTAAATGTGAAGAGTGAATCACAAACTATGATTTTCTAATTCATGCACAAACAACAGAGGCTCAGGAAAATAAGAGCTGGAATCACCATTGTTGCCTTTGCTTTGGTCCGGCAGAGAGTAACCAAATCCCATGAGGTCATTCTTTTGCTGAATTGAACTTTTCCACTGGGGATCAGGTAAATCGACTGCCAACTCATGGATGCTGTTGGAGTGCAGTATCTGGGTGGTGGCATATGGCGTAGCCTGTGTTATTTGGCTGGAACTGTTGTAACTTGTTTTGGTGGTAAAGTCAATGCTGCTGTAAATGGCTCCATCAGAAAGCATAGAGGCAGTTTTATCGCCTTGGCCTGGCACTGGTGGCAGCACATCTGTGTGAACACAGGGGAATGAAACAAATCAGTGATGCACAGGAAGCCTGAAAGTATCAAGGTTTAAGATGAAAAATAAATGTGTCATTCTGCACGTTTGCATTTCAGCTGAGACAGGGTCCATGAGCCAATGAAGGGAAGATGATGTACAGCCATCGCCAAGCTATCAGCATCTGTGACAGGCCTACCCCTTGTCCTTCACGTTTCACTGCCTAAAACCATCTTTTTTTCCATACCTTCAACTGTGAAAGTGAAGTTTGGAATATTTCTCTACTGAAGAATGTTTTCAATTGTTCATTCTATGTCAGAACCAATGAAACTGTCTGGGCTTCAGGGTAATGATGAAAGGAATGAATCTACAAATCACAGAGGAAACTATCTCTGCAAATATGTAGCAAACTACTGAATGGATGCCAAGGCCCTCAAACTAATCCTTTTTGGGACACCAATTGCATTTTCCTTAAGTTTTGTACATGGGTTTATCTGACTTAGTTCTAAAACATAAAAAAGACATTTCTTCCTGACAATATAGGAAAACTGACATGAATAAGTCATTTCAGAATGTGATAAGATTTCAGCCAACCTGAAGAGATTTATGTGATCAATCAATTGAAATAATACAACCTTGGAAGTGCAGAATAACTCAGTTCAAAAAGCAAAGCATACTGAAATGTAACCATAGACACAATACAGTGCATTAAACAAATACCTGCCCCTTTTTCCATCTGTTCCACCTGTTACATATTACAGATTTATCATTTCAATCATCTAGATTTGAAGTCTCTCTCCTTCATAAAATTCATAGTAAGAGTTGCTGTTAGAAATTTAGATTTAAAAGTAAGGTCACTGAAATTTGACGAAGTGCCTTAAAGTGACTGCTACAAGGGTAAATGGAGCAATGCAGCTCATCTGATCATTGTGATACTCTCATACAGACAAATATTAATGGGGCTATATTTCTAGTACAGTTTAGATCAGAAAAGTGATACTCAAAAAACTTGCTACAGATTACAACTTCTATTTTATAACATTATTGTCAGCTATTACACATGGGCTCTGTCTATCAAGTCTAAATCACAATTGTGATCAACACTCCTAAATTCAGAAATTTCAGCTCTGAAGTTTTGGTTTAACCTGTTGTACAATTCAGGGCTAGCATATACCTGAGAATCAACGTGGAAGGATGTCCTTAAGGTTAATATAATGACTTGGGTTCAGTTCTAGGTTCTGCCATAGACTCACTGAACAAGTCACTTAAGCAATTTGTGTCTCAGTTCCTCAGCAATGCAAATACAATGATTCATTCTTCTTTCTCCCACTTTTTTCTCTGTGTTTACTCTACTGATTGTGGGGAATATTTCTTACTATATGCCCTTAGCACATGGCCCTGACCTTGGTTGAAACCTCTTGGAATGAATTTATCATCATCAACAATAACTCTTCTGTGTTCAATTTAAAATATCCATACTCACAAATTCAGGAGTGTTCTGAAATAGAGACTGTTGCACTTGCTACTTTTGACTGGTGTTAGCTGTCTAATAATATATCTGGTGGCTGGACTTAAAATCACATATTTAAAATGGCTAAATTATCTTCACATTTGCATGAAGAATAACTACATAGAAAATGGAGGTGTAGCTAATGGAAAGCAAAAAAATGAATCTGGAAAACAGAACATTGCCCTTCAAAATCAGGCCAGTAATACTGACTTGTCTCTAATCTAATATACTCAACGGTAGCCAGTTTACAACTATAAAGATGTCTTTCCTAACTCCTAGCCACAGAAATAGAGCATAAGCTGTGAATCAAACTGGGTCATAACTTTCTCCTGTATCATCAATACTAAAGATTCTGCCTTGTCACATACGGTTTCATGCAGGCATAATGGATTACAACTTAGTAAATATTATTTTTCCTGATGTACAAAAAATAAGAGGGTCCAGCTCAGTTTGCCCTGCAGGCTGACGGGAGTAAAAAGCACTAAAATATACTTGTCTCCATGACTCCATGTACCCAGAGCTGATTTCTGTTAAATGAGGTGCTGCCACATTATATAGCCATTTTACCACAAGCTTGATAATGTAAAGGTCATTGTGCATACCTTCCTGGCACTCAGAAGCTGTGAGTTTGTCTCACTAGTACTTATCTGTTTCCCCCAAATATTAGGAATTTTCAATAGAACTGTATATAATTAATTAATTTTTATTTTATAAAAAAAAAATTAAAAAAATCTATCTATCTAATAAATGAACCACTACAAAACTACCTAGTGACAAAGTAATTATACATTAAAAATCAATCTTGTCCCAGGAGTCACTCCACAACACCACAAAGCATGGGTCAAAACCTAAACTATAAGATGAATTTTCCCTCATGTTATGGTCAACAAGAGTAGCCTGCTTGTTTAAGGGGGAAGCCATATTCTACACTGAAGGTTTCTCCACTGGAGGCACACAACCAATCCTAATCTGCTTTATAGCCATTTCTGTGGTTGTGTCCAAGTTATGGCAGGTTTTCTGAGCAGCCCTGTGGGACTACAGCACAGTATGATCTCTCCCTGAATCCCAACTCCAGTATGTCCTTCTCATCCAATTCCTCATCCTTGCACAACTGGTATGGCATACCTCATAGGGGTATTCTCAGAAGGCAGCCTTTCCTCAAGCCCTATTCAAGAGAAATACTCCCCTGGCCTCATATAAGACTTCTGTGCCTTTTTACCAAGTATAAAATGGTTCTAGTATTAAACAAGGGATTGAGAGCAGAAGCATCCCAGCTCACTTGTGAAAATGGGGCACAGGAAAACATGATCTCCAAAATAGTCAGGACACAAATGTAACCTAGATTGTTAAAGGTTATGAATAGCATTTCATTGCTGAAATTCAAAGAAGAAATGTTTTGCCTCTTCAATGAATCTGGTTCTACCTCAGCAACAGAAAGCTAAAAGCTTTAAAGCCTGCTTCCAAACCTGGAGCTTATAGAGCCAAATGCTATGAGAAATAAATTGTATTTATTTTGTACTATGTGAACTAATAAAAACAACGTGGAAATACTAAAGAATCATATTTTGGAAGTGTATATATAATACTATAGCTGTGCTCTAAATATTATCTAAAGACATGCTTTCTTCATCACATCATTTTGGTAAGACAAGCACATTAAAATGTTTGAAGACAGTTTTGCCCAGATGACTCTGTCTAGGAACCAAATGAAAAGTTTTAATGTAATTTGAAACCAATGTATAGTCATATCAGAACAAGGTTTAAACAGCAAGCAAAGTGTTATGAATGAAAATGAGGAGTGTTCCTCCAATTTTTACAGTCAGACAAGTGGCAGAAATCTACTGGGTGAGGCCGGGGCAGTGAGGGGCCTGGTGTGGAGGCACATGGTAGTGCAGGACCTGGTATAAAAGAAAGGGACCCAGTGAAGAGGCACCGGTATGGAGGCTTGAGATGGTACTGGACACAGGGCAGCACAGGACTCAGTGTAGAGGCATAGGGCAGAATGGGAATCAGCACAGAGGCTCCCAGCAGCATGGCATGGGCAGGTAGCAGTGGGGGCAAATGGCAGTGGGAAACAAGGTGGTGGGGGAGGAAGAGAGTGGCAGGGAGGGCAAGGTGTATGTGAGGTAAGAGGTGAGCGTCAGCCTGCCTTTCCCCCCACCCCTCACCCCCTGCCACTTGCCTCCCCACTGCCTGTCCTCCCCCACCATTGTTTTCCCAGCTGTACTGACCCTCCAATAATTAGATTCTATGCATGGAAAATTAAAACAAATTTATAATTTTCCTTGTATAAAAATAAATTATTGGGGGATTATCTTAAATTGAAAGGCATCTTGGATTCAGATAATTACGGTCATTCTTATTTGCTTATTACTCTGATAGCTTTAAATTTCAGTGCATTTGTTTTTACTTGCGTTTTCCCTTGTATTGTATGAAAATGGCCTGAAGCCTGTTTGGTGGATCTCTGCCACTCATCCCTCAACTTTTAAAAACTGTTTAAATTACAAGTCCAGTTCTTTACACTGAAAGACCTTATGGAAAACTCATAGGATTATGACACCCCAAAAACCCAAGGAAAGGACACTTGAATAATTGAAAGGGAATTTGATTACCATTAAGGCTGTTTAAAACTCTTTAGCATTGATTTTGAAACACTAATTTAAGTGCTACCTGTGCTATAGAAACTAATAATAGTGCTAAAAAATTTTACAGAGTGAGGGAACAAGAGACTAAAAGCAACATTTTCCAGGTGGGGACTGGTGAACTTGGATTCCAAACAGAGAATTTTGGACCTTCTTTTTTGGAAGGGTAGAGCACCCACAGTTTCATTTGAAATTGTGCATGTGCTGAGCACCTATTGAAATTAGGTCTAAGCTATCTGAAGGGAAGTGCCCAAAGATTATTCAGTCAAAGGAAAAATCAAAGCGATATTAGGTAACTCAGAAGGCAACACTTCCAATGGCAGGAGATTTTAGAAATCAGAAGCTCCCAACTCCAAATGCTATCCTCTGACCTGTAGAACACCACCATGCTCTATGAATTATCTATGAATGCTCTATGGTTTATCTATGAATGATCCAACAATACGAATAGGACAGACATGAGAACTAGGAAATATTGAGCTGACATGCTGATAAACCAAAGACTACTACTAATTAACAGATTGCCATACTTAACTGTATTGTACTAGACAGCAATTCAGTAATTTTACAGCAGTGCTAAATTGCTAAGACACTTTGCCAAGGGGGGAAAAATGCACTACACGCACAGAAGAAGAGAACCTAAATAGAAAAAAAAAAGTGAGAGAGAGCATAATACAGTAAAACCTATTCCTCATGACACTGTGACCTGATAAAGTAAAACCCACCTCCACGACCAAAATTCCCAAGATCATTAGGTCCACTGGTGCTGTTATTTACTGGAAGACTGGTGGCAGGCCAAGAGTCTGCAAGCCATGGATAGCTGGGATCGCTTGCATTCAACAGACCTGGCCGACTGAAGCAGGATACAACAAAAGGAAAAAAAATAAAATTATGTTTGTGAGACAACTCTGGATATGATAGTGATTGAAAGACCATATCACTTTTCTCCTGCCACTGTGTGCAACAAACAGTTGAGGAGACTTTAATTTATTTCAAATTAAAATTGTGCAGGCTTTCATGATTTAAAGACCTTCAGCAGTTAATTAAGGCTATATACAAATCAACTTTGTCAGTGAAAATGGGACTAGGCATCAGTTGTGATTCTGGCATCAGTTGTGCCAGAATCCCAATGAACACTGTTGTCTGTCTGAAACAGGGAGTAGGCAGAACCATCAAAAGATCCTAAACTAGGGTTGAATGATAAATTGCCACCTCAAGGGAACAATCACTCAAACTGACTGCTCTATATCAGCCATTTCCAGGACTTTGGGCTAATATTCCTTCACTCCTTACATCCCAAATGTATGTCTGTCATTTACAGGGTGGCAACTCTTTTTCTTTGAGTACTCCCGTATGGCTTAATGGGAAATGGGCTTGAGTGGGATTAATGGAAAGTTCATGGCAGTATTTTTATCTTCAGCTATAACATGCTTTTACCCTTTTGGGATTTTAGACTTAGAGAGCAATCCTGAAAGCTGAAAATCCTAAAAAAAGGAAGCAAGTTTTGGCTGTAAGACACTGCATACTCCCCAAATAAAGGATAAATATGTCTGCATTCTGAAATTTAGCTGGACCAATGTGGACAATTTATTTTCAAGTTTAGCAAGGAAAACAAATAGCTTAAAGTAAAAAAAAAAAGTTATGAAGCTTTTCCAGATTATTAGCACACTTAAGAAGAAGGAGCAACATTTATAATCATTGTACTTTTTCCCAATAGGCCCCTTCTGGTACAATCCCTAAGAGAAACATGGGTTTCTATGGAAACAACAATAAGAAGATCCAGCAGTTTCCTTGCCACATCCACTAGCTCTCATTAGGCCTAATCTCTTTTTGCTAAAATATTGATTAAATGGGAGATTGGAAGTTATTACCAGAGCCTAATTACAATCTCCATATTGGCAAAGAGAAAATAGATGAGGATATATGAGTCTGCTATCAGCTTTTATCAACTTCGATTGAGTAGCCAAAGTTGTGGAATCCAGTCCTATCAATCTACAACCTATTCATCATCCATGAATCATTTATTTTGTGATCGATTATGTGTAATTGTTCACTCACAGCAATTTAGTGAGAGCCAATAAGGAGTCTTAAACAACAGCAACTTCATTTGCTAATGTCTAATTAATGCAATAAACATCCTGGTAACAAATGAACACATTCCTTGTGATATTTACTACTAATTTCTTCCTGGGCATCTGGGAGAGATGAAACATCTGGACTTGATTCCTCTAAAGTGCACAACAGATAGATCATTAAACCTTGTACTAAGCCATTTTATTCCTTCTAGAATTGTCAATCTTATAAACGATCGTTTATCCTTTATCTACAGAAATTTCAAGTTCCTAATCAAAAAACAAAATAGGATGAAAACAGATCTTTTTACCAACAACCGTACCTTCCATTGCTCATTAGTCCTCCATCCCCTCTTTGAAAAGTAACTGATTTAAAAAAAAGAACAAGAGACAGGGAAAATCAATTATTAATATTTTAAATTAATTATTAAGATTTTTCAGCACCCGAAACCAAGGTTCTCAGAATTACCAAACAATATAAAATGGCAATTACAAGAAAAAGGAGCATACTCAGGATTGTCAATTCACTGGAACACATTGACTTAAATCAATGTGTCTTTTAGCCATCGCACCTAACTAAAGAGTCCTGAATTTACCATAGGCCACTTGACACGGCTTTTTTGTTGTAAGACTATGCCATGCTGTGAAGCTCTGTTTTCCTGGCATACTTTTGCTTCGGTACATAATGACAATGAACCAGGATGTTAACATCAGTTTCATAATGCACTAGTATGTAATCACACAAATATTGTGTCCCACAGGATAAATAAAAATAGATGACAGCCCTAATTGAGGTAAGGGGGAGAAAAACAAGTATAAAACCTACATTGCTCCTCTCACACATATGGAAAACAGCGCACACACAGACATTCATACACATCAGCGTTACTGGAAATAAAACTTTTTCATTTTATCAAAGGTATGCTATAAAACATGTACATTCCATTAATGGATACTTAACAAAAAGTGCCTGCCCCATCATATTCATGGGTTTATACATCAGGGCATTGAAGGTGTTGCACATTATTAATTTATCCATATACTAGTACCCAACTCAGATTCTTAACAAATAAGTACTAAGTGAAATTGGCAGACTATGGACCATCACTAGGTATTGTTGGTCAAGGACAACAAACTGTCATGGTCCTTTAATGGCAACAACCTGTGAATTTTTTTTAGAGATTGTTCCAATAATCCTGCCAAGATACTAGATAATTGGATTTTTTAATATATTTGACTGATAAAATTCACTTCTTAAAATGTAGGCTGAAATTTCAAAGATGGAAAGAAGCCTTCATGGTCATCTTAATTAAAAAATAACTGCTAAATTGTCAATTTGTATCATCTTGCAAAAGACATCTTCATCAATAAATATACAACCAGGAAAGTATTTATAAAGTTCTCCAAATGTTACCCAAATGAACATAGGATTATAGGCTTGAGCTTTAATGAGCTGTCATACTCTGATTTCAAGGTGGAAATACTATGATTACTACCTCCCACACCCACACCTCGTACCAATAGACATAAATCTGCATATCTGTGGCATGCTGGTATTATCTCATATTTTGTCACTTTATCAATTCTCCAAGTAGCTTCACGATACACATTTAACAACAATGGTGACAAAACTGACCCCTTTGGGATCCCACATGGAAAGGCCCTTGGGTTTGATGATTAATTACCTATCACCACAGAATGGACAAATGTTAATATTGGAAAGCCATGATAGTTATATTCATATTAAATTGTTTAATAGCTGTATTTGGAAAAGAGTTAAATAGCTAATGAAAAGAACATCAGAAAGACGGTACAGGAAGTATTAAATAAATCCTGCAAAGAAAAATGCAACACATTAAAAAACAACTGTAGCTAATTAGCTTAGACGTGATGGTACTTTCCAGTTGTGTTGCTTTTTTAATGGGCTATCGAGCGCTTTTATCACTCTTTGCTAAAAGTGAGTAAGCTAATGCTAAAGTGCTGTGGCTATTTTTTGTGATGATGCAAATAAATGGGTGCTGACTGGCTATGTTTCAAAACATGTTGTTCATCAATAAGTTACTAAAAATTAATTTATATGCTTTTTCACCACTACATCCCTTTCCCACCCCGCTTTTCAGATGTTCTGTCTCTGCTAAAGCACCTAATTATAGTGCTGAAAAGAAGCAAAACCAGAAACAGTCTCTAATACATTCAAATAAAGTGTAAAACCTGGACTTACTATTTTAGGGTGTTTCTAGGATAACACCTTTCATATTGGAAATGTAGGTCAAACACAAAATCAGGTCCTTTGTCTAGGCTACAGACTTATTAACTAATTTAAAACAAGTCTGTGTGTGTATGTGCATGAGAGATGCAGAGAGAGTCTAAATACTGATTCATCGGTACAGGGAGTCATCAGTACTTAAAGATTTATATCCATAGGGCTCTCCTTTGTGTTTAATGCAAAACTGAGGTGTAGAATGCAGAAAGCATATACACTAACAACATCCATAAGAGGTATTCTAGCTACAGAGCAATGAGGTATGTAGGATACTGCCTTGCATGCTAGGAAAAACTATTCTGAAAAGGTTTTTACACCTTTCATAATAGTTACATATAGTCTTATATCTTATAGTCATATAGTATTACATCCCTTCTGTAAAGTTACTGCCATTCTCCACAAGCTGGCTTCAGTGTGTCAATTTGCAGAAGAGACATGGTGCAAGTGTTTGGCCCTCATTTGTGATTTCTAGCAACACTGGCAGTAGTATTCTTGCACAAGTCCTACTTCATATAATCATTCTGTGACCCTCCAATAAAATCTTGTGTTTTTATGAGGCAAATGTCTTTGCATGGGCTTAAAGGGAGAAACTCATCAAGTAGGAACAGTTCCTGAAGTGACTGGGCTTTGCATGTGCAAATGATATAGAAGAAGGGTACTTGTTCTTGTCACCACTTTATATACCGGACTTAAATCTTAAACAAGAAACAAAGAGGAAAATACTGTAACCACAATGACCATTTTAAAAGGCTCTTTCTGAACAGCAAAACTGTTTGGTACAAAGTTGGATGTCCTTCCTGAAACACATGACTGGTGGGTCACAAAAAGCATGTTATATTCCCGATTCCCTCCATAAAAGGGGTTACCTGAGACTGGCAAGGGAAGGTTCCTTTCTTTTGCTATCAATATTGTGAAGGAAAAGCCAGCTAAAGGCACAAAAGACATGTTTAGGCTGCCAACATAAGCACTATGTTTATCACTCCTACCATATGTTTTGTCAGCATTTTTGCCTGCAGTTTGATTTCTGCAATTACAAAACAAGTCTGAATGCTGAAAAGGAGCATATTTAATGCAGTACAGACTTGTATATGTCAATGTAAAATAAAATGCACAGGCAAGCTGGTTTCAGGCAAGCTGTCTCTATTTCAAATAGATGCTGAACAGTCTTGAGGGGCAACACTGGAGGAGGAAAAGGAGTATCCCCCTTATTACTGACCCACCCATCTCTCATGTTTTTTATCATTGGGAAAGCATGAAAGCTCTTTCAGCATTTTCTGCATTTGATATATGTCTTAGAAAGGTTCAAGACTAGCATTAGAAGCCGGGAAGAGACTGACTTTCAAAAGAAGATGAAAAAAAAAAGTGGGGGGAGAGATTTCTAAGGCATGCTTGCCACTCTACTGCACGGACTGCAAAAATGCAGAGCATACTGTAAAAATCATTTAGAATGCATAAATTATAAGGAAATGATGTGGTATATATTTATATGAGGAAGAGTGTAGGTTAAAGAGCTTTTGCATATTTTTAAAAATATATAAGGAAGTACCTATGCTATTTACTAATATTATCTGACAAGGTTAAACCTAATCTTCATGCCTGCTAGAACTGGAAAAATACGAATATATAGTAAGTTGACATTTTGAGTCAAGAAAGCTTTAGAGAGCTTTCTCTGTGCCTATCTCTAGTAGGCCACATTTTCCTGCCACAAATGAAAACTTTAATGTTGCCAGCCAAGTCTCATTCTTTTTTCTGATAAGCTGTTCCTCAAATATGAATGTAGATTAATCCTCTTTTAATAAGCATTAACTCAGAAGAGATAATCAGTGTATAAAAATTCCATCAAATCGCCTGCCTGCCTATGGACGATTCTGTCAAATTATTTATCCTCATCTAACAGTTTTAGGACTTGTGCATAAAATGTTTAGCATTCCATAATTTTCTATCTATTTTTAATTTGTTTATATTTACTCAGTTTCATAAAATCTTTAATCCCCAAGGGCCCTAGTCACGAAATAAGCTCACCTACTCATAAGTGAAAATACACATTTACCTTCCTTGCATGACTGATAGTCTCAGCACTCTTGAAAACACCTGAGCATTGAAGTGAGCTTTTATTGGCACAACAATGAGCTTGAGGGCATATGAAAGATAAAATGGAAATATGGAGTTCCTTCTGTTTCCACACATGGGCTCTGTATATTTAATACACAAACCCTGTGTAGAAACATGAAGGGACAGTTACAACTATCTCTACTAAAAACAAAATAATAATCTGATCCATAGTTCTAATGGTTGGGGGGTGAAAGAACTTGCAAATTGTACTAGAAGAAGGGGATAGCTGCCATGTAACACCCATTCCATCCACAACGCAAAAACCTCTGGGATGTGTTGGTATCTGACTAGATGGTAAACATGAAAAACAGAAAATCAGCATGCAACAATGTGATAGCTGCTTTAGCTTTTATAGATGTCAATGCCTCACAAGCATATAAGGCTAAATTATTTTCTAAGATCTGTGGTGTTGTGTAAATTGCTAAAAGATGGGACAATTATACATTGTGGTGCTGGCAGATCTTTGTGGCAGGGTTTGCTTTGCAGTTTTTCAGCCATCTTTTCAAGAATCGATATTTAATCCACTGTTTCCATTTATTATACTACTGCTTAGCAGATAACAGAGTCACTCATTTGATTTCTTTGGAAAACGTTCTGGCTTTGAGTGCTGTAAATCAGAGATTCAATTCCTGATGATTACTCATGATGGGACAACATTGTAAGCGGTGGCTTGTGAGACAGCAGATATATACTAAATAGCTAGTTCAACTATCGGGGGAAAATATTTAGCTTTTACAGTGTTATATTGTTTTCCTTATTTGTTAGAACTTGAACAACTATGCGGTTCCTAGGACACATTTGCAAATCCAAAAGGTTCCATGAATTTAAGCACAACAGATCATTTGTCCCCAACACAAATAGCTATTAGCAGCATGCCACTTGCTAGTCCTCCGCATAAAATGTTTCAGTGGTCCAATTATCCAACAGAAGCAATACCATTTAGCTGGTTAATTAAACAAAGCAAATGGCAAAACAATCACAGTGAACACTTCATGAATAACCCACAATTGGAAAGTTAGAAGACCAAATATTTAACAAATGCTTACACAACATGAACACAAATATTAAAAAAAAAAAGTATCAATTTCTGAGTTAATGGAAATGGAGCTGTCAGAAGAACAGAGATCTTCACAAAAAAGAAAAAAAAGAAAAACGATCAATCATTTTTCTCATCAAAACATTCCAATCAGCTTTATCTGTGAAGTAAAGGAAAGGCATAAATTCATCACAAATATGCCTAATGAACAATTTGACCAGCTCTGTTAGGAGTTTAGACCTTCAGATTCTTTATGTCCCTGAAGGAAGAGCTCAAACCAGATGTTTGATCTGAGCAAAAGTGCACCAATGAAAAATGTTAGGACAAATTCCCCCGTAACATAACATTTCTGAAGTTCACCTCTGAAGAAATACAATGGATTTACACTGGATCCAAATGAGATCCTTACTCCTATGCTGTTGCTCAAAAATGTAGACAATTTACTATGGAAGGAATAAGATACAGTCTGATACTTCTTCAGATCTGTACCAAAAAGGGAATTCAGTTAAATGAAAACGTAAGCAAAATTTGCTACCAACTGCAAAATGATATATGATACTGTTCATAGCAAACTCTGTGCCTAGAAATAAGCAAGTACAATATGCTTATCTGGCAAAAGATTATTTTGCTAATTGAGACTGCTTTCAACCCATCAGCCAGAGTTTGATCTCCAGTATAAACTGACTTTTCTGGAGTAAAGTTAAGTTACTGACATAAAGCACTATGTAACTCCAGTTTAGAGCATTTAAAGCTTTATCTTCCAGTTAAATGAGAAGGACATTTCAGGCTTTGATCACTCCATGTCAAGCTGTGCCACAGCTAATCCTTGTCTGAACAAGCATGCCAACAATCTCAGTTTGGCCAAGGCATTCATGAGTTTTCAATATCTCTCCACAAGAGACAGCTCTTTTGAACAATGTTGTGTCAGTAGGCGGTACCACCTCATCCTGCTTCTCTACACAATGTGCTAAACTTAGTTGTGTTGAACACAATTTTAGAAGTGTCTGACATGCAGACAGAGCTGGAGAGAAGTGGCTAGCAGGTGGGGAAGGCTCCACTGAGCAGCAGGGAGAGAAGCTACCAATAAAGTGAGGGCAGAGAGAGAGCATTGAGCATAATGAGAAGAAGAGGGGAAAAGGAAGAAGCCAAAGCACCTCTATTCTTCATTAAAATGGGACTGAGTGAGATGTATCAGTACTACAGAAAGACGGTAAAGGATGATGGGCAAGAGATGGTGGACATTATATGGAAAAGGGGACTGGCATAGGCTGTTTAGAGATGAGCCCTCTGAAGAGAGCAATGATGACAACAACAAGGACAAGGATGATGACAAAGAAGATGATGAATACAATGATGAGTGAAAGGAGTGGGCAAACAGGTGGGGGAGTTTGGAAGAGGGGGAAGGAGGGGGAAGGTGGAGGGCACTTGAAGTAATCATGTGCACAACTGTGATGGTTAAAGGTGATGATGATGGATTCACAGACACATGGGAATGCAGGTCTGCAGTGTGGTTTTTGTAACAGAATAAAAATGGTGAAACTGTAAAGGTGTGTTTTGGACTGTCAAGGAGTGTTTTGGACTGACCACATCAGTCACAAGACAGGATGGTAGAGGTATAGTTTTATATAGAGATCTATATATATATA